ATATATGTTTCGAATAAAAAAGTTATTTTGTTTAAGAAGATTTATTATAATGACTTAAACGAAAAATTTAAATTATTTTCTTTTAAAAGGTTATCCATGACAGTTTTATTGTTTTAAATAAATATTTTAGATAATTTATCTATTTTACTACAATTTGTAAGGTATTTTATGAAAAATTCGGTAATTTAAAATAAAGTGAGATATTCAATAGTTGTTTATGAGATATTGTCACTTGTGTTGCTTTTAGATATAAACAGAAAAACAAAATATCTCCAATAAAAACTGTCACGGACATTAAAAAAAAAAAATTTTTTTTAACTTTTTGTTTGTCATTATATAAATATCTTTTTAAACCAAATAACTCTTATTTGAAATATTTTTTATATAACTCTATTATTTAAAAAAAAATAACTGAGTGTATACACTTAAACGAGATACACTGTATATACAGTTATATACATACATATATATAAATAAGTGTGTGTACATATATACATATTTTTGACATATGTGTTAAAGGATCTTCAAGAGAAATATGATAAAATAGCAGAAGAATGCAGACGCTATAAGAAACAATGTAAAATCCTGGCAAAGCGACTGAAGGATGCAGGCTGTAAGTATGATAGCTATGTCTATCGAAAATAAAAAATATTATTGGGGAGAGAGGTGTTGAAAAATTTTTCCATATACGCATAAACATACACATGTATACATATCTTAAATTATTTTATTTTAATGCTTTCAAAAAAAGACGAAGGAGAGGAACGTCCTTATGTGCTAAGAAACGCCGGTGAGTGAGTGTGTGGTCTTGACAGATGTCATGAATCATCATCTTATTAAACTATTTGAAAAGTTTGTGATTTGTGTGAAGAAGCACAATTATTCTATTAAATTGAAGAAGATTATATCATAGAACAGATAGTTTGCTAACTAAAAGTTAAAAATATCGTGTGTAAATATTAATTTAGAAGATGTAAATTAAAAGATATCAGAGAGTAGACTTTTCGAATAGTTCGATAATACATCATACAGACCATAACTCACCATCGCTTGCATATTGTGTCGAGCACGCGACATAGTTCGACAAAATTTGAGAAAATTTTGAGAAGCCTGTAAGTCGCACTGACTATAAAAATTCAATTTTTTCAGTGCCTAACGCGGTAGAATACGCAAACGGCTCCGCCATTGTTTCCAGTACTCACGCAGATGGAAATAACATGCCTGTCATTCGCAAAAAAGAAAGAGATTATGAAGGAATGTTTGAATTCAGGAAAGAAGATATCAACTTGATTATACGTCACCTAGTCATTGGCAAGTCTCTCGCTGTAGCTTTAATACACTTTCTTAAAATTTTAATAAATATTAATATCACAAGACGTAGTAAAATACATATGTTACTTTCCGATAAATACATCAATTATATCATTATAAGATAATCATTTTATCTTTACAAATTTATACTGAATATTTTATATTCTGTCCAGAACTGAAACCCCGTATAGCAGTGACACTGCTACCGGGTTTACCGGCCTATATTCTCTTCATGTGCATCAGGCACACCGACTGCATCAACGACGACGAAAAGGTGCGATCGTTGTTGACCGAATACTTGAATGCCGTTAAACGCGTGCTGAAGAAGCGCGACGATTTCGATTCCAGAGTGCTCTGGCTGAGCAATACCCTGCGACTGTTGCACAACATGAAGCAATACTCCGGCGACAAGCCATTCCAGATCGAAAATACACCTAGGCAAAATGAGCAGTGCTTGAGAAACTTCGATCTGAGCGAGTATCGTGTCGTATTGAGCAACGTGGCACTCTGGATTTTCAACAATATTGTCACGAATCTCAAGGAGAGAATCCAGGCGCTCACGGTACCAGCCTTGCTGGAGCACGAGGCCATAGCCGTGCCGACCGATAAGACCGGTCGGCCCAGGTCGTCGTCGATGGGCGGCGAACCAGATTCCACGCAGCAGAAACTGGATAAGCTTCTCAACGAGCTAACATCGGTGCACAAGACTTTGCAGTATCACGGCGTCGATCCCGAGGTTGTGGTGCAGCTGTTCAAGCAATTGTTTTACTTTATGTGCGCCAGCGCTCTGAACAATTTGCTGCTAAGGAACGAGCTCTGTCGGTGGACGAAGGGTATGCAAATAAGGTATGGCAAATGTCTCGATTTTATTTTTAATTGATGAAATATAAAATTCGACTTAAATATAAAAAAAATTGCATAAAAAAATAGAGGAATTTTAAAAAATCGATAAAGAAATTTACTTTGTGAATTCATAAATTTCTAATCTCTTGACTCTTGAAATCAAGACTAGACTTTACTTATTATTAATTCTTAATTTTGTTATTTGCGTAATAGAATATGATATATATTTTTTATTATATATAATTCTTTATATAAAACTTCTTATATATCACTTGCAATAATATGATATGTATTCTGTTTCTTATTAAGGTATAATATGAGCCATTTAGAACAATGGGGTAGAGATCGACGACTAGAGACTGCATCCGAAGCGCTGCAACCCATCATACAGGCATCGCAGCTTCTGCAGGCGCGTAAGACGGACGAGGATGTTAATTCCGTCTGCGAGATGTGTAACAAGCTGACGGCTAATCAAATAGTGAAAATCCTGAACCTGTACACACCAGCCGACGATTACGAGAGTCGAGTTCCTGTTTCGTTCATTAAGAAAGTACAAGATAAACTGAAAGAACGCGGCGAGAACAACGAACAGGTAAGCTTCTTTTGTACTGATAAAAAGTAATAAACTTTCTTAGTCAAGAGTCTAATTATCGCTCTCTCAAATATCTATAAATTATAAAAGCTTCACATAACGGAAAAGTTTTTCGCAGCGCATAATGATTGCACTTTTCATTTTCAGCTGTTAATGGATCTAATGTATTCCTATCCTGTAAGATTTCCGTTCAATCCGTCGGACATTCGGTTGGAAGACATCGAGGTACCCGAGGTGCTTCATTTGCCGATGCTCAAAAAGATATAATGCAACAAGGCAAGCATAATCGTGGTCAAGATTTCGCCGTTCTATACCAGTTTTTAGTTGAAAATGTTATTCTCGCGGATAATCGAAACTCGCTTAACCCAATCCTTGTTCGTACGAGTTAGCGATACCAATAAAATCCGACTAAATTAGATGTAGACTCATCGAAAGCGCGCGATTCATCGATATATATCACGTTTTATATGTGTTTCCTTTTTTACTCGAGTAATTTGTAAATTTTACGATATGTCGTCGTTTCAAATCGTGCTCGCGTTTAAAGTCAATTCCGTTATGTAGATAGATGTGATCGGGTCTAGGTGAGAAAAAACGATAATCAAAGAAGATCGAATATTTTTCGTTATTGTTGCTGTACAGCGTTATACATCAAAGTGTAAAAGAGAGGTGCGAGTATAAAAAATTCCTACAAAGATTTTTTTTCGGTTATTTCATCAGAAATCTCATCAGAGTATTGATGTGAACTTTGAAGAAATAATAATTTTATCATTTATATTATATATTTATAATACGAATGATAAAATGTAATATATTTAATATTATATTATATTAATAAATATAATATAATAAAATATATTATAATAATATAATATTATAATGATGTATTACATTTTCTTTCATTTGTTCGGATCTTTTAAAGTAAACTTTCTAATTTGTTTAGATTTATTATAGTTACTTTTTTAATTATGAAAGAAAATATATATAGATTGAATTATTTGATTGATTATTACAGAAATGCTTCTTCTCGAACCTATCGCTATTTTTTGTGATACATAAAGAAAAAAATTGATTTCATTTGAACAAAATAGAAAATTGTGAAGTTTCCAAAAATATGAGTAAAATCTAGGTATTGCACGTTCTTTGGATACGGAACAATATATTTCCATGAGAGAAAATAATAATTTAACAAATAAATATATGAGAACGATGATAACAATTACAAATACAAACTTTTATATAAAATTTCGGTTTATATATATCTAAACTTTATTGCTTTATATCGCGAATCCTTGTAAGAATTTTGTATATATCATAAAGTTGAAAACATTGTTGTTGAAGATGTAATTAATGTAAAAAGGAAACGTATGCGAAAAATAGAAAGGAAAGATATAATGTTACGTTGGAATAGATTGTATATTTTGATACGAGAGAAAAAGAGAAAGAACTATTATAAAAAATTGAGTTTGATGTCGAAACGACATAAGAATGAGAAAAACAGAAATATGAAGGCGACCGAAAGAAATTGCGAGGATATATTATTATATTTTAATTTATAAATATATGTACATGCGATTGTATTTTGTGCCATTTTACGAATAGATCGTAATATATTGTTATTTCATCCGGACTGTCATTGAGTTTGCGCATTACAAACATATTCCACAAAGTGGTATCTGAGGAGAAAAACAGAGAGAAAAAGAATATATCTTCTTTCGAGAAATGTTATGGACAGAATATATTTACACAATTACATACCTTGACTCGATGTGACATATTTATTTGTTGCTAAAGTGAAAATAAAGCCGTTGATAACAGTTCTTACCCAATTTCTCATACTTTTTGCACTAAAAAGTGATAGAGAGAAATGATCTTTTATTATATATAAAAAGGTCATAAATCATTAAAGTTCTTGCAATAATTTTCATTATATGGCATAAAAAAATAAGTTTTTTTTTTTAAGGATAGATGCAGGAAGTATAAGATGGATGCAAGTGTCTAAATTAGATGTCATATATTAATGTCACCACACTAGTACAAAAATCAGAGAGATAATATCATAATCTTTTATTATATAAATTATGACGTTATACTAAATGACAAAAAATAGTATTTGATTTAAGCAAATAAAATTCATGATGTCATTAAAAATTCAAATGCAGCATGTAGAAGCAATGATTGTATAAATTATGACGTTATAACAAATTGATGAAAAACAGTATTCAATTTAACCAATTGAAATTCATAATGTTATTTATTACAAATGCGAATGCAGTATGTAAAAACAATGTGAAGAGTAGCAAATAAGGAATTAAGTATTTAGTATAATGAAGCATATGTAATAAGAATTAAACTTGTTATGTTTTAATTGATTATGACGATTTATTATTGAATTTAGCTTGTTAAGACATGTCGCCAAAATCACTAGGCGAACGTATATCATCGATTTTCAAGATCATCTTAACTAGCTGCGTAGCCAACAGAATTTGTTGTGTCTTGCTCGTCAGAGTTTCGATGACGTTCTGTCTCTTCATATCTGCAACGCAATTTGTGACAATTTAAATATCAATCTACAAAAGATAACACATAAAAGTATGAAGATTATACGTACTCGCAGTGCCTCGATTTAAACAATCGATACCAAGAGCGGGATTCTTCTCAGCCAATTGACGTGCTTTAATTTCCGATATGGTATCCACCGGAGAAAGACCAGCATTTTCCGCAAGTGCCATGGGAACACTCTCCAGAGCTTCAGCGAAGGCACGGAAGGCATACTGTTCCAGTGTGCTGATTTTATCAGCCTGCGCCGCGCATGCTAACGCGCAAGATATTTCCGCTGCGCCTCCGCCGTACAGAATTTTGTTGTCCTTGACTACGTTGCGCACGGTACACAATGCGTCGTGT